CCTGTGTTGCAGAGAAAGAGTTTACTGTATTTTCAGCTATCAGACACTAAGAGATCTTAGGGCTGGAGAGATAGCTCAGCAGTTAAGAACACTAGCTACTCTTGCAGAGGACCCAAGTTCCATTCCCAGCATCCACATGATGGCCAACAACCATTAATAACTCCAGTTCCAATGACCTCTGTGGGCATCGCATGGCATGGGTACACTTACATATATGCAGGCAATACACTCATACACATAAAATTTAGAATAATAATAAATAAAACTCTTAAAAAAAAAAAAAAGAGGGGCTAGAGAGACGATTCAGTGGTTAACTGGCTAGTCTTGCAGAAGACCTGGGTTCAATTCACAGCACTCATATGGTGGCTAACAACCATCTGTAACTCCAGTTCCAGGGGAATCTGATACCCTGTTCTGACCTCCATGGGCCATTCCATAACACAGGTACACTCACATACATGTAGGCAATACAGTCATACATAAAAAAATAAGTTAAAAAAAAAAAAAGAAATTAAGAGACCTTATATTAAAGGTTTTTGCTCATGTCTTCTGATTTTAGTCTTATCGGCATTAATAGTAATCATGGTCATTTTAAGGCAAATGCTGTATTAATATGATAGCATTGTTGCTTCCCGTTCATTTACTGCTTATTTATATTTGTCCTATGAACAAAGATAACTATTTGTATTTTAGATCTTGTAGTAGGATAAGCATAGACATTTTGGTTTACTTAAGTAAAGAATCTAATGGCCCTAACTTAACAGAAATATGTGGCTTTTGGAGCGACTGGAGAGATGGCTCAGTAGATTGGGAGTGCTGGCTGCTCTTGCAGAGGACCTGGGTTTGATTCCCAGCACCCACATGGTCGCTAATACCCATTGGTAGTTCCAGTTCCAGAGGATCTGATATCCTCTTCTGACCTCAAGTGACAGGTCACTTATTACATGCACACAATATACTCATATACATAAAATAAAAATAGTAAATAAAATATTTAAAAGAAATGTGTGGCCTTTTGGTACTAGGCATAGATTTCTGCTGATCTACTAGCAGTCTTCTGGCTTCCCATATGCATAGTGGCATGCAGGAAAATGACTGGTCAGGGGTGGAGTGTGGTCAGAAAACACAAAGAGTGAGGGTCACAGAGCACAAACCTGTGACCTTGACTCAAGAACAGCAATTCAAATTCAGGGGCCACAGATGAATGAGTTTTAAAATGTTTTAAAATCAGGCTTAGAGATGTAGCTTAGTGGGAGAGTGATTGCCTTGCATGTATAAGGCTGTAGATTCAATCCTCAGTCCAGAAAAATAAAAGCCTTGAACTGCAAATCTCAGCAAGTCTGAACTCTTTGTCAGTGTATGTTGTAATGGTGTTGCACTACAGAGGCTTTGAAAGCCATCTCCAGTTCACATGTAATTCCACAACTCTGTGGTATCACTGAAAGTCCTTTTAGATTATTTCGTTTGGGGAAGTTCAAAGACTCGGTCTCCTCTGAACTCTGCCATCAGCAGGCTGTGGCTGTCACACTAATATTTCTGGGACTCAATCTCTCCTTTAAGTCAAATAAAGTCTATGGACTTATCATTAATGTTCTTTCTAGCACTAATGCTTAATGATTTAAGTCTAAGAGTTACTTTTTATGGGTTGATCTGTAAAATGGAAATGATAGTGAAATGAAATAAAAGTTAAAGCAAACCCTCTACCCTTTAGCATCATGGGAGTCAGGGAACTCCACAGTGTGCTCACCAAGCTTAACGGGACTCCTGATTCTGGGTAGATCTGTAGCATCATTTTTTTTTTTTCATCTCCAACGTTTATCTCTAATGAGTATGGAAAGGACAGAATGGATCTGATGACACAGAGCCAGCTAAGGAAAGGTCTGCCCTTATGGATGGCTGAGGAAAGTGGGTCTGACTGGACTAAAGGGGTACTTACAAAACCAGTGTACTACCTCAAAATAGGATTTGTTTTTGGTTTATTCTGTTGGTAATGTTGGTAATGTAACCTTGGGCTTTTTTTGGTTTGGTTTGTTAAAAGTGATGTTTATTTAGCCATTTCCATCCTGTTCTATATCCTGTGTAGAAATAGGTGCATGTGGATGGGTTTGTACCCCCAAGTTTTTGTTTGTTTGTTTTTTTTTTTTTTTTTTTTTTTTTTTTTTTGGTCTTTTTGAGACAGGGTCTCACTGTAGCCCCAGCTGTCATACCCCCAAGTTTTAAGTCCCGAGTCCTTAAACCATTGGCTTCAGAAAGGATTGGTCTAGTGAGCTGCCATTGTCAGTCTCCCAAATACCAACATTTCAAGCTTTATCATCTCAAACTTATTCATCTGCACAACTACCAATCTATCCAAAAGATCGATGAGAATATGAACTGTTTTTCTGCCGCATTTTCACTTTTATGGCATCTATGATAAAACTGTTGTTTAGTAAATAAGAATGGTTCCGCTCATTGCGTAGTGCCTTTTTTTCACGATCTTGCCAGTAGCACCTAGAGTCAAAGAATGAAGTTAGTTATCCCGTGCTTGCTGGGCCTCCTGTCAGCATGTGAGAGCACCAGCAGAACTTATTTAAGAGTGACCGTTTTCCTCTAGTTCCTTTACACTGGATAAGGATGAAACTTTGTGCATGTGCCATTCTTACAGAGAAAAATAATTTTTCTCTGGTGTTTAGCTTTAGGAAAACATGGCATGTAACAATATTCATATTTGCAAAATAGACTTGACTGCATTTCAAAAAATTATGTGCTTCATCCTAGAACCTCATTAGACACTTAATCATCCAGTAGTCAAATGGAAAAAAGTTACTTCTCAAATATCCTGGGTGATTTCTTCATAGAACAGAAAGATTGCACCTCAGTTTAATTCTTTTAAAAAATTTTTTATATGTGTAAATGTATTGCCTGCATGTAGGTAGGTACACACCTGTGTCATGCAAATGTCCAAGGAGGTCAGAAGAGGGCATCAGATCCTCTAGAATTGAAGTTACAGATGGTCATTAGCCTCCATATGGGTACTAGGAATTGAACCTGGGTCCTCTGCAAGAGCAGCCAGTGCTCTTAACCACTGAGCCATCTCTCCAGCCAAGTTTGACTCTTTAAAAGAGGTTATTACATAATAGTAAAGTAGGTCTCATCCTATCATTAGTGAGTGAAGTATTTGTTCTTTGCACAAACTTTTTAAAATTTTGTTGGGTTTTTTGTTTGGTTGTTGTTGTTGTTGTTGTTGTTTTGAGAGGCAATCCTGTAGCCCCACCTGACCTGTAACTCACTGTGTAGATCAGACTGGCCTGGATCTCATAGAGATCTGCCTGTCTCTGCCTCGCAAGTGCTGGGATCAAAGGCATGTGCCACCCACCATGTCTGGTGTAATTTTTTTTATTGTTTTTACTTTTTGTGTATGAGTGTATTGCCTGCATGTATGTAAGTGTGCCTGTGCCGTGCAGTGCTCTCAGAGGTCAGAAGAGGGCATCAGATTCCTCTAGAACTAGAGTTACCAGAAGGTTGTTAGCCACCATGTGGGTGCTGGGAATCGAACACAGGTCATCTGCAAGAACAGCCAGTGCTGCTCAGGGGATACCCTGAGTCATCTCTCCAGCTCTCTTATAACAGTTAATGTACTACTAAGTAGGAAATTTCAGGCATTAAAATGATGCTGTTTCTATAGTTGATTTGAAGTCCCTTCTTTGAAAGTGTATCAGAGTAACTATAGCCATCTAGTGAGATTAAGGTTCCACTAGCACCAGTGCTTACTTTGATGAGTCCAAGAATTAGCATTATTGGGTAGATCTATAGAATAGCAATGATAGTGGAGCTGGGTAAGAATTAAACCCAAACTCTCTGCCATTGTTAGCCTGGTAAGAATGATTAGCCAGGAGTGGTGATGCATGTCTTTGATACCAACACTTGAGAGGCAGAGGCAAGAGGATCTCTGTGAGTTCAAGGCCAGCCCGGTCTACATAGCAAGTTCCAGGCCAGCCAGGGCTAAATAGTGAGACCCTGTCTCAAAAAGATAAAGATTGAACTACACAGAGCACTCACCAGGCTTAGCAGGACTCCTAATTCTGAGTGGACTTTTTCATTCCAACATTTCTCTCAGATGATTATGGAAAGGACAGGATGACTCTGCCTAGTGATTTTTCATTTTTAGAAACTGCCAAAAGTGGTTTAATAGATGCTGCATTTGATAAAGATGTAGGACACATTTTAGTAAAAACGTAAGTTACATGACCAGGCTGTGCAGGTGAAGTGCCTCCAGCCAAGCCTGACAGCCAGAGCTCAGTCCCTGGGACCTGCTTGGTGGGAAGAGAGAACCAGCTCTCACAAGTTGTCCTGTGACCTCCATGGATGTGTGTCTGTGCACACACGCAAACAGAAAATAAAATGTAATTATAAACCTAAGATAGAACTTCAAGAGATTATGTTTTTGTTATGTTTTTACCTCATAACTTGATTTTTGCAATGGTATCAAAGGATTTCAGAAAATCCAAGAGTAGATTGTTTATCGGGGTAGCTACTTTTGAAAGTAGCGGTCATTTGGATAAAATTGTAGATTTGCTTTATCAGTCTTTGTATGCACTTTCAACTTCATATTCACCAGCATCTGTTTGATAAGTGTGAAAATTCTAAGATAGGGCCAAAACTTACATTTCAGAAAACTGGTACATGAGACATGACAAGTGTAATAGTTATGTTAATCCTTGTAGTTTTGTGTTTGCTTGTAAGTTTTCATATAGTGCAGATTCGGAGCCCATCCTTCACTGGTCTCCTTCAGTCGGGTCGTGTATGTGACTATCCACTTGAGCATAAAGGTGGAAGTAGCTAGTCATGTTCCTCATAGTGGGATTGTGTCATTAATAAAGTTAGACAGAAAGCCAGTTTTACCTCCATATTCCACCCATGATGTAAGAAAATGGAAACCTTATCTGCACAGGGAATGCACAAAGGAGTACACTTCGTTGTGTGGTGCTTGCTTTTGTAGTAACACATCTTTGTCTCTACAGGGGGCTCTCTGGATGTATATAGGAAAATCCCAGAGCACGTGCTTGGAAGAATTGCAGTAGCAGTAAGTAGATGGCATCTGTGTCCAAAAATATGGCCTGTCTAGTCCCCTTGCCAGGCTGTTCTTCTATCCTCAGGTGTTTTCTTCGTTCTCTGTTGCCAGTTAGGTCCTTCTCGCCTTTCTTCTACTTTGATCATTTTTGTCATTCTTTCTGTGGGCTGTCTTTCAGTGTGGTCCCCCAGGCATGGCAGTCTCTAACCTGTTGTGGTAGCATGTGTTTGCAAGGACCTTAATGCCCAGGTTTATCAGTTGCCTTTCTAACTTCAGAGAAAACTGTTTCAGAAGACATTCTATAGTCATAGAATTAGAAAATAAATTAAAAGTCTAAATCACTAAAACAGTCAATAAGCAAAACACTGCTTTGAACTGAAATGATTTTGTAGTCTTTTTGTGCTCTTGGTTCTGCATTTTTTTTTAGCAGCTGTAACTAGAAATCTATTCTCTTTGTGACTAAATGCAGTTTTCCTGTTCTAATATTCATGAATAAACTTATGAAATTTATCATCTAAACTGGTATTATTTTATAAGTGCTAGATTTCAAATTTGGAATAATGTAGGCTAAACATGTCTAGGAGAAGTCATTGGGTAATGTAATAGTAAGCAATTGCTAAACTAAAGACATTCTGTTAAAATAAGTGGTTTAATGCAGAACAAAGTGATTATATCATGTTCCATTTAATTAAATGGCTTATTTTCACATTCATTATACATCAAACTGACAACTCAAATTCTTTAATCCAACATGGACACTTATTTAGTCTTAGTTCATTGTAATTCACAGCTTTCCTTTTTTCTTTCTAATTATTAGTGTGAACTTCCCAGGGTGATGAGAACTTTTCTGATGCTGTTGCTGCTGAGTAGCTTCTAATCCACATGTGGAGGCAGATTGGTTTAGTATGAAGTTTGAGTACTTAAATCACTATATTAGATGAAAATAAAAATGTTTCATTTCCTCTTCTAATCTCAGAGGGGAATGAATGTTTTGTGGCTTTTGGCAGTTTTTGGCTCTAAAGTTTAATAACACATGTAATAAAGGGCTAAAGAAAAAAAGACAAGAATACCAATTGAAAACATGGGGGTGTAGCATACAGCTCTGTATCCCCAATTATGTATCAAACTTGGAAAAAGAGAAATCTTCTCTTTTTGGGAAGAAATTTGTTCTTCCTGAACCTCATCGGTCTTGCCTCCCTCTCATGTAGGTAACCCAGGCCAGGTCACTGATCTTTTAAATTCTGCTGGAATGGGAAGATTGTAAAAGTTAGTGGAGTTAGCAGAAAAACAACTCAGCTTCAAATATAGGGCTTGCCTATTGGAGAATGGAAAATATTGCAAAAAATTATTTTAGGGAAAGGCATTAAAATAAGTACTAGACCAAGCCATTGTTTAGGTTTCCTCTTCCATGTTTTTAAATTTGGAAATATTTCTGTAAAATACAGCCATCTCCTCCAGCCTTTGTGGCCCATCAGGCCACAGTGATGAAAGCTGCTAATGTCTGAACTAGAGGACATGCTTTGATAACTTTGCTCTTCTGACAGCCTCTATAAAGAGTGTGTTTTTGTGTGTATGATTTGAATTGGCTACGAACTTGGACGATTCTTTCATGCAGCTAATAAACACCATATCAGCCCAGGAATAATGTCTGACACCCGGAGGATCATACCAACCAAATACAACCAGCAAATGGATGGGTTGTAAGTCATGATTTGTAAAGTACATGTTCACACAGTCTGATGGGCTCCCACTTTCCTTGGTTATTGCTCCTGTACAGTCCCACAGTTGACATAGATGTCTTTCCCTGCATTTTCTCGGCGAGGCCAAGAAGGCACATGACTGTAGTCTCAGTTGTTGTCAAGTCTAAGGCAACAGAATCTGGAGGTGGGAGATAGGTCCAGCACCAATCACTGTCATGTACTTATGTACAAGTATGTCACCTGGTGTTTACAGCAGCCCTGTAAAGTATGGGTTGTTGAACACATTACACTAGGCAAAATGAGGTCTAGAATGGTTAAACAGCTTGCCCAGAGTTATTGTCTAATTAGGCAGTGCTGCCTTAGACACAGGCTGTCTGTCTCTAGACCCAGTGCTCTTTCACTCTGTTTTCTGAGAATCTGAGCAAAAAATACAGGAATTAAAGGGAGAACTAGATTTTTAAGAAACACAAAGAATGAAGAGGATAATGAGAATGAATGAGAGAGAAATAGGGAAACACACAAATGCACAGTTGCTTCAGATCCACCCCCAGCAGGATCTCACTGAATTGTCCATGGTGGTCTTAAACTCCCGGGCTTAGCTACTCCTCAGGCCTCCATCTCCCCGGTAGCTGGGACTACAAGCATGTGCCACCATGTTCAGCTGGAGTCCTTTCATGTCTTAGAACCATACTTAGAGATCTCCTCCTCCCAAATGAACTTTATTTTCCAGGTTCTAATAATGGCATGCAAGGTAGTTCTGCCAATCCAAAGGTCATTTTTGCAGGATGAACTCTGTCAGCCTCGATGAAATGTGGTTCAAATTTTCTTTTGTAGTATGTATGACAAGAGAGCATTTTTGTTCTGTTGAAGAAATCCATATAAACTATCTGATTTTAGCTGTCCAACTTGCTCCAGATTTTTATCCACTATCTACTTGAATCTGGTTTCTGATAAAGAATACCTCTCTGCCTCTCCCTGCCACCTAACACATTTTGTTTCCCTCTCATTTCTGAAGCAGTGACACTCTGTGCTGTATTCTGAGTGCTAATGTTGATTGAAGTTGTCCCTGAAAAGATGTGCACTTGACATGTCAAGGAAGGAGTGATTGACAGCAGATATAAGTACCGTTAGTGTCAAGGTTTCTCAGGTGGTTTTGTGCTGCCTTCCCTACTGAATACCAATAATACTCTAGATTTTTCAGCAGGCAGATTTCTTCTTTCCTTATACATGGATCTCTATATACATTAAAGGAAATTATAGTCTCTTTTGATAGTTTGAGAAATAATATTTTCTTTTTTGAATGTCTAACAAAATGCATGATTTTGTCAAACATCATAAAATCAGTATTGTATTTATTTTACCTTTTCCTACCTGGCAATCTGAATATTGTTGGATTGTATCCCATGTGTGTTTTCTGATCATTCATTTCCTGTTGAGCTAATTTTAGTAGTTGTCTACCTCTAACAGGAAGGTTTTATAATATACAACTGAGATTCTGAGTTTGGAAACTGAACTCTGCTTACTCAAAACTCAAAAGATTCCTGCTTCCCTGCTAACTAATGCCCTCCTCCTCAGGAGGAAAGCTGTTTTCATTGTTGATGCTATCTTTCATAAGCATTTAAATATTTTGCTTATTTCCTTTGCTTAAAATGAACATTATTATACTTTTATTTTAAATATATTTTAATTTTTGCAATAAGTATAGTGTAACTTTTCAACACATGTAGTATTAATGTTTTGATATTTTCTTTTCCTATATATTATTTGGAGCACGTATTTTATTGTAATGTCAATTATTCCAAACTCTGGAAGAAATCATTTGTTATAAATATTTATTTTGTTCTCTAAGAATAAATAACTGCATAAGGAAACTGGTCATATTAGACCAGCAAACCTGGCAGGAGTGCATTC